TTGTGCACAACAACTACCAACTGAAATGTATTCGGCTTCAGTGGTAGATAATGCAACACAATTTTGTTTCTTTGAAAACCAAGAAATTAGCATATTTCCAAGGAATTGGCAAGTACCGGAGGTGATTTTCCTATCTAATTTGCATCCTCCATAATCCGCATCAGAAAAAGCGTGCAAGCTAAAGCTAGAGTCTCTAGGATACCAAAGTCCTAAACTAGGAGTGTCCTTAAGGTATCTAAAGATTCTCTTAACAGCTAGTAAATGTGATTCCTTAGGACATGATTGAAATCTAGCACATAAGCAAACACTAAACATAATGTCCGGTCTACTTGCAGTTAGATAAAGTAGAGATTCAATCATTGACCCATATAATTTAACATCTACACATTTACCTCCTTCATCTAAGTCAAGCTTTGTTGAAGAGCTCATTGGAGTGTCATGAGGTTTCCCATTTTCCAGTCCAAACTTCTTGAGCATATCTTTGACGTACTTAGCTTGATTGATGAAGATGACATCTTTTCTTTGCTTGATTTGGAGTCCCAAGAAAAATGAGAGCTCCCCCATTATGCTCATCTCAAACTCACTTTGCATTAGCTTAGAAAATTCTTGGCAAAGAACATCATTAGTAGAACCAAATATTATATTATCAACATAAATTTGAACTACTAATAAATCTTTACCTTTATGCTTAAAAAACAATGTAGTGTCAACCTTCCCTTTTGAAAAACCTTTTTCAATTAAAAAATTTGACAATCTTTCATACCAAGCTCTAGGAGCTTGCTTTAAACCATAAAGAGCTTTTGTCAATTTTAAAACATGATCCGGAAAATTTGAATCTTCAAAACCTGGAGGTTGTTCCACATACACTTCTTCTTTTATAAAACCATTTAAAAATGCACTTTTAACATCCATTTGATATAATTTAAATTCATTGAAACATGCAAATGCTAATAACATTCTAATTGCTTCCATCCTAGCTACGGGAGTGTATGTTTCATCATAGTCTATGCCCTCTTCTTGAGTATACCCTTGAGCAACAAGTCTAGCCTTGTTTCTCACTATATTACCACTCTCATCAAGCTTATTCCTAAATATCCATCTAGTACCTACAGTAGATTTATTACTAGGCCTTTCAACTAATGTCCATACTTTACTTCTCTCAAATTGATTTAATTCTTCTTGCATAGCCATAATCCAATGTTCATCATTTAATGCTTCTTTAATATTCTTAGGCTCTATGCATGAGATAAATGCAACATAATTACAAATATTTCTAAGAGAAGATCGAGTTGTTACCCCTTTGGATGGATCACCTATAATTTCACCATCCTTGACATAGTTGTACTCTCTTGGATAAGATACTTCCCTTTCTTCAATGGTTGGATTCTCAAGAGGATCATGAGTTTCCTCATTTTTCGTTTCTTCCTTTGATGATGGTTCTCCAACGTCATGTCTAACGTCATTTGTATTTATAACACCTACATCATCATTCACATAAGAATCCTTCCTCGGAAGGGGATTATCATCGAAAACAACATGTATAGACTCTTCTACAACTAAAGTTCTTTTATTAAATACACGATAGGCTTTAGAATTTAAGGAATAACCCAGAAAAATTCCTTCATCACTTTTAGCATCAAATTTGCCAAGGTTTTCTTTACCGTTGTTTAAAACAAAACATTTACACCCAAAAGGATGAAAATAACTAATGTTAGGCTTTTTATTTTTGAAAATTTCATATGGAGTTTTCTTTAAAATTGGCCTAATCATTACTCGATTTACAACATAACAAGCGGTATTTGTGGCTTCCGCCCAAAAATATTTTGGCAAATTATTTTCACAAAGCATGGTTCTAGCCATTTCTTCTAAAGTTTGATTTTTCCTCTCAACAACTCCATTTTGTTGAGGGGTTCTAGGTGCTAAAATATTATGGCTAATACCGTTAGAGTTACAAAATTCAGTAAATCCAAGATTTTCAAATTCAGTTCAATGATCACTCCTAACACTAGTTATAGAGTAACCTTTTTCATTTTGGATTACTTTTGAAAACGTGATGAATTGTTCTAATGCTTCATCTTTAGTACTTAAAAATAGAACACAAGTATATCTAGAATAGTCATCTACCAAGACAAATGCATATTGTTTTCCACCCAAGCTAGTAGTTCTAGTTGGCCCAAAAAGATCTAAATGGATCAATTGTAAAACTCTACTAGTTGATACATCATTAATGGATTTAAAAGAAACTCGCTTTTGTTTTCCTTTAGCACAAGCATCACAGATTTTATCATTATCAAATTTAAGCTTAGGCAACCCTCTTACTAGGTCTCCTTGAATTAACCGTTGTAAAACACTCATACTAACATGTCCTAGTCTCCTATGCCATAACCAACTATCATGTTCATCCTTAGCAACTAGGCATAAATTAGTCATATCAAAAGAATCTAAATGCACCATGTATATGTTTCCTATTCTATGACCAACAAGCATAATCCGATTAGATGCAATGTCAATGACTTTACAACCATTAATTTCAAATAAGACATTGAATCCTTTATCGCATAATTGACTAATACTCAATAGATTATGCTTTAATCCATTCACATATAAAACATTTTTAATTTGTATGGAAGATGTATTACCTATTGTACCAATACCTTCAATGTGACCTTTTGAATTGTCTCCAAAAGTCAATTCTCCTCCATTTTTGGCGTTAAGCTTAATGAACCGGCTTTTGTCTCCGGTCATGTGTCTTAAGCATCCACTATCAAGGTACCATGAATTTGAATTTGTTTCCCGTGCCTTGTAGCAATGCTCATTTCCCTACAAACATAGATTAATTTTTGATTTTTGGTACCCAAATTCTTTTGGGTTCATATTCATTAGTTTCCAAAATCCTAGTCCCCTTAGGTATCCATTTGTGTAGCATATTTTTATCTTTAGTAGTAATGAGTTCTTTAGGAACCCACATACTTCTAACGATTTTTCCATTAGAGGTTCTTTGGAGACCTCTATGATTGTAGTTTCTAAAACTTTTTCTAACAAAGTTGGATTTTGAATTTCCACATTTTTCAAAATGTTTTGTTCCAACTTTATCAAAAGAAGTTTTAAGATCATCAATTTTCTTTTGATGATCATCATTGATCTTTGAAAGTAAATTTTGCAAATCTAAATTTTTCTTTTCAAACTCTTCTAGTTTGATTTGCAAATCTTTGATTTTACTTTCAAGATCGTTGTTGGTTTTGGATATGAGTTTGTTTTCATTTTTCAATTTTGAAACATCATTTTTATATTTTAAAAATAATTTCTCATAATCCGAAGCCAACCCATTATATTTCTCTAATAACTCATCATAGGATAAATCATCAAAATCGAATGAGTTAGAGGTTACCTTAGAATCTTCCCCAAATGCCATCAAGCACAAGTTAGCTACTCCTTATTCCTCTTCATCGGAACTTTCTTCATCGCTTCATGTAGCCACATGAGCCCTGTGCTTATTCTTTGATTGACCCTTTTTCTTCAATTGTGGGCAATCATATTTGACATGCCCTGCTTCTGGCTCAAGGGTGAAAGGATCGTAACGAAGGTAGCTCTGCCATCATCAGGAGAGGAAAACGTAGGCGTAGATGATCCATCTATTTATGCTGCCGAATGCTTAGATTAAGTTCGTGCTCTCATCCGAGCGAGTAGACGGAGTTTGAGGAAATAGTGCAAGCTAGAGTAGAGGAAAGGAACGAAGGTAGCTCGAGCGTTATCGTTATATAAGATTACGTTCGCCTTCTAAGCATGATAAGTTCGTCACCACCAAATGCACTGATCCGTCTAAGAAGGGGTTCGTGTTCAGTCCGATCGAGAGGGTATGAAATAGAGCTCGACCAACGGGAGAGGAACGATGGTCTCGAGCGAAAGCGAGAGGATATGAAACGCCTGGGTCTTCAAGAGGTTCTTTGAAACCAGGGTCCGTTAGGAGGGGAGTGTAGGCTCAAGGATGTAGCTCGTGTGAACAACAGGCATCGAAGATGTTTTATAACGCCAACGTCCGAGGTTATGTAATATCTCGAGCGAAAGCGAGAGGGGTTGGTTGGTTTAAGGCTACGAATGTAGAAGGAAAGGAACGATTCGCGTTCAATAAACAATAGTAGTTATCCCTCCCCGTTCATCTGGAAGGAAGAGGAATCAACAACGGAAGGTGAAACCGAAGGAGTTGAATGAGGCGAAAGGAGAGGAGCGTAGGGGTACCGTAAGGTAGCGTTAGCGTTCGTTCGGAGCATATGTATGGTTTGGCCTGGAAAGCGTGAGCCTTTTAAGGTACTGAAAGTAAAGCGATCGGGTATGGTGGAAATGAAATAGCTCGACAGAAGGAAAGCGAGAGGAGGCTTTGCACCGTAACCATAATGAAAGTTCAGATCAAGTGCCAGAAGAAATGGTCGACTCTGAATCCGGATTGGTTTGAATCGAGAATGAAAGATTTTCTCTAAACTAGAAAACCGTCAAGAAAGGATCCATCAACATGATGGACACTCGAAACCTTATCTATCTGGTTTGTGTAAGGAGGGAACCGATTTGACCTTTTCAGTAAAGGGGGAAACAAATAAAGTAGGAGACGAAAGACTAACATAGCGCTTCACGCCCAGAGGAAGATGCTTTCTTTTAGCCTACGCCTACGCCTTTCCCCTTTTAATAATAATAAGGTAAGCATCCAGCTCTCGATCCAGAGCTACTGCTTCAACAATCAACTGAGCTCAGGAAGTCAGGTTAAGACGTCGACTTATACAGGGTCTTTTCCGATAAGATGAAAAACAATTCCTGTCTTGAAAGGTAAATCCCACTAAACTACACTTGTACGCTTGACATGAAAAGTAGAGGCAAGCAGAGTCAAAGGCCAAGCCTCAACCAGCAAAGGGGGACAGCCATGCCAATCCAAGCAGAGCAACTAGAAGCCCACTCTACCTTTCTTTCTTTATCTTAGACTTCGTTATTCAAGGAGACCCATGTGCATTTCCTCTGTTCTGTGCTCTTGAACTCTTGATTCCCTTGTGCCTTTAGTTGAAGTATAGGTCGTCGATTCAATCTATCTTGATGGGATTTTTGCTTTTGTTGAGTGGTATATAAGGGATTCCTCTAGTAAGTAGCGACAAGAGGCTACATCAATAGCTGAAACTTGTTTTTGGGTAGGGTAGGCTCGGAGTCAGAAGTCCTCTCTTTCCCAACCAAATAAGCATTTTTGGAAAGTTCATCTTCCCGCGGTCAAAACTAAACAACACTTGCGGATAACAATCAGACCTTACCCGGGACAGAGACCATACTAGAAAGCCTAATTTAAAATAATTCGGCTCAATTCACATCTATGAGCGATGATTCCTGTTTCTCTTGCTCGCTTCGATCGGACTCTGACAGCTTAGGGAAGAATGAAGGGTCGCTAACAAGGCCCCTAAATGACTGCTCAGAAGGCCTACCCATTTTTTTTCCTAATTCCTTTCTTTCTACTAGTTCTTACAAAAAAAATTTGCAGGAAGTAACAAAGTCTTTCCTTCCGAAAGAAACTCCTGAAGTCACGTCTTTCAGTACTGGGACTGAAGTCAAGTACTTTCCAGTTGCTCTTTGCCCAAAGCCCTCCTTCCGACTTAAACAACTATAAATAGCTTTAGCATCTCTTGATAAGGAAACGTCTTTCTAGAGCTAAGGGGAAGGTTTGGAACCCTAGTAGCAGAATGGAATCAGTTTACCAGGCTGACTTCCATGGCAACACGAGTAGTTTAACTCATCACTACCTCGTAAGGGCGTTGAGAATTGTTTTTGCTTTTATTGTTCAAAATTCTTAAAAAAAGTCTTAAAATAGCCCTTGCATAGTTTACGAATTCTGCTTAGTAAGGACCTAAACTAAACACAGGAATGGTTTGTAGCAAATGATTGGGTCCTTCTCTTTCGGTTCATTTTTTAGGCCTTCATTTCGTTTGAATTTTCTTCCTCGATAAGGTCTCATCATTTTTTTGAACCGTTTGGCAAACAATGCCATTTCCTCGTCATCGTCATCGTTATTCGAATCACTCTCATCTTTTATGGATTTGAGAGCAACTCCAATGTTTTTCTTCTTCTCCTTCTCCTTTGGTGTCGCATCAATCTTGTCGAGGTCCACCTCATCTTCGAGCATCATTTCATGAGTGAGGAGTGACCCAATTAGCTCTTCAAGAGTTAAGGACGTTAAGTCCTTAGACTCGATGATTGCCGTCTTCTTTGATTGCCACGATTTTGGGAGGGAGTAGACAAACTTCCTCACAAGCTTTTCATTTGAAATGATCTCTCCATATGATTTGAGACCATTGACAATCGTTGAAAATCTATCCGTCATAGATTTGATATCTTCATTTGGTTTCATCCTGAAATTTTCATAGCTATGCGTTAGAATACTAATTTTAGATTTTTTTACCTCATCGGAACCTTCATGAGTGACTTGAAGTTTGTCCCATATTTCTTTGGCGGTTGTACACGATGAAACTCTTCCGTATTCATCTGGTCCAAGAGCACAAAAAATGATATGAATGGCTTTGGAGTTGAGCTGGAACATTCTTGTCTCTCCTTCACTCCACAACCTTGGATAAGTAAGAGGTTTGATGTATCCTTCTTCTACAGCATTCCATGCTCCCATGTCACTTGCTTGAATGAAGTACATCATTATATTCTTCCAATAGGCATAGTTAGCTCCATTGAAGAAAGGAGGCTTGTTGACGGGCATCGAATCGAGATCGGAGTCGAAGTTTGAAGCGGAGGCCATTGATGACTTTGATTATCAATATAACTCTTCCCGAATCGACTCAAGAGGCGATTAAACCTTCAAATGAGTTAGGCTCTGATGCCAATTGTTGAGTTAATCGATTGACTGAATCAGCCAAGAGGGGGTGAATTGGCAATAAAATTTTTTGTGGAAACTTTTGCAGAAAATTGAAAGAAATTGCACAACGATTTAGAGTGGTTCGACTTTATCAACCAAAGTCTATGTCCACTACCTTAGCTATCCACACTAAGGATTTTCCAACAAATTCACTAATTTGTTCTTTCTTTTGAGGCCAAAGAGATAACCTTACAACTCCCTCAAGAATATACCCCAATTCTTGAGAACACTCTTTTCTCAAAGAGAAATACAAATTTGCAAACTTACAAGAAAAACCTCACAAGGCAAATATGTTTGCACAATTCTAGAACAAAGAAAGAACACTCAAGAATAAATACAATTGAGCACAATAAGTGTTCTTGAAAGCAAAATGAATATTGAATGAAAAATAAGCTTGAAATGCTCAAACTTGAGGTTTGATGCTTTCTCTTTGATTCTCTCTTGATTCTAATTGCTTGATGTTTCTTGGTATTGATCAATGGCTTCTAAGCTTGCTTAAATACACCTTGAATCACTTCTGAACGTTGGGGATGATTAGAGAAAATAATATAGCCGTTTTAGTGTGAAAACAATTAATAAAACAGTTTGGAGCGTGGGGGAATCGGTGCCCCCTATGGGGAATCGATTCCCTAAGTGTAAAATTCAAATATTTCGACCGTTATACAAGGGGGGAATCGGTACCCCTTGGGGGGGAATCGGTTCCCTCCGAGCATACTGGAATTCTCGGAGCCAAACCATTCAGGGGGGAATCAGTTCCCTCTGAGCAATCTGGAATTTTTGGCTTTGAAATGGTTCGAAATACTTTGTAAAATTATTTTGAAATCGTTTTAAGTTTAAAACTTAATTTTACACTTTGAGTAAGGATTAAAAATGATATTTGAAAGATTTGGAGTAATGTTTTGATATTTGAATAATTCTATCGAATATACTTAGAAAATCATTTGGAAAATCTTAAAATTCATTTAACTTAATTTGTTATATCGAAATATCAAAATGTTTTCAACAGAGCGTTTCTCTCATTTGAGAGAGATGATATCTGAGAAAATGGTGAGAATGAAGGGGAGAAGAGTGATTCTGGGTATTTATATACCGAGGACTAAAGTGAAAATAGAGGATTCTTAAATCCTTTCCGCCATCCCTGGTATTTTGAATCGCTTTGCAATTTCGTCACCATTGTAAATTCGCCTCTGAATTCCCAATTTAATCAATTTTGTCATTGTTTATATTTTTTAAATTTTATGATTTGGCCACTAACGTTTTTTACTTTTGCATTTTAATTTAATACCAATTTAAGCCAGTATTTTTAATTTGTCTTAATTTGGTCCTCTATGCAGTTATTTTTTTCCTTTTCTTTGTTTTCTTTGATATATATATATATATTCTATTTATTCTATTTTTATTTATTTATTTCCTTTGAATTTTTCTTTCTTTCATTTTTCTCATCTTTCGATTTGTTTAATTTTTCTTTTTCTTTATTTTTATTTCTATTTTTTTGGGGGTCATTTTATATATATATATATATATTCCTCTTGATTTACCATTTATTCATTTTATTTTATTCTTTTATTTATTTATTTATGTAGTTTTTCCCCTAACATGTTCGATTTATTTTTTTTAGAGAAACTCCAACAAATCAGAGGTAATTAATTCGAATCGAGAGTTTTTAAATTTTAATTTAAATTTTTTAATTTTCACAAATTAAGACAACCGATAAATTAATTGGTACCAAAAGGGCGGTTCAAGGGTGCTAATCCTTCCTTGACCGTAACCGACTCCCGAACCCGACACGTTTCTGGTACAACGCAGATCAGGTAAGACGGTGTCCGACCTACCTAAATTCATTTTAAAATAGTTGGTGGCGACTCTAACACTTTTATTTCAAGTCGAAGCCCAATTCCGGGCCCCACCGAAAGACGGGTCCGACACGACCAAGGACCGAGACAAATCGACGATCTAGGTACGGTGGGTTTGGGGCTTTCTCGACCAGGTACGCTTCAGTCTCTGGCTCGAAGAAAACGTCCTCTGCTTAAGACGACGACGGTTACCGGTGCCGAACCGGATGAATCGTGTGAGCGTGAAACAGAGTCTCTCAATTGATCACGTCATTGTGGCGCGGCTTATTCGTTACTTTTTTTATTACTATTATTTTATAAGGTAAAATATCTATTTAGTATTTAAATTATTAATTTTTATCTATTTTAATATATAACTTTTAACCTTTTTTAATTATATTTAATGTTTTGTTTTATTTTAGTCTCTATTGTTAAAATTTTAACGTTTTTAAATTGAAACTATCAGTTTTCGTCTGTTTTAATATTTAAATTTTATTTTTTAAAATTTAATTTTAAATTTTGAACTGATAATAAAATGAAAGAAAAATTAAACTATAGACATAATTTTAAAAAAAATCAAAAATTTAAACACTAAAATAGACTATAATATATAGTTTAAGTATCAATGTTTAATTTACCATGTTTTATATGATTGCCCTTATAGGGTTTTGTGTTTATGGGTTTTTTTAATAGAATATTCGAAAATAGGATGAAGCGTGTGGGATTAAGATTAGTACAAGATTAGATTTTGTTTGTATTCTTGGATTTGTTTTTATATATAATATAATTATGATAAAAATCAATATGATGTTTAAATAAAAGAGTAAAGTATACAAAGAGTCCGTAGATTATAAAATATTATTTTATTGACTCATTTAATTATTAAAAATTACAAAACTATTATTTGACTATAACACGTTAATGTTTTAGGTATTTAGACTATTTATATTTACAAAATGGTCATCTAACTATTCATTGTGTTTTAAACTTGTCATTTTTTGTTAAAAATTGATAGTTTAAACTAGACTTTAATCTACTGATTGATATATGATAATCATTTAAGATTACGAGTTTATATTATATCATATCTCAGGTAATATGTTAACGTTCAATTCAAACTGCTATCAAATTTTAATAGAAAAGGACAAATTTGAAACACAATGAATAGTTAAAGATCATTTTATAATACTTAATAGTAATGTACTTAAAAAAGTAACGTCTTATAGTCGAAACCATTTTATAACTTTTAATAGTTGGAGGCAACATCATATAGTCGATATATCATTTATGTACTTTACCCCAAACAAAATTATAATTAATGCATGTTTATAATTATAATTAGGGTAAAGTATAGAAATGGTCTCTAAATTTTTTAAAAACTTCTATTTAGGTCCACAACTTTTAAAACTTATAATACAGTCCCCCAACATTTAGTTTGTTTGTAATATGGTCTCCGACGTAACCGGTTGTTTACAATATAGTCCCCCGACGTAACCGGTCGTTTGACGTTGTTACACTACCGTTAATACGTTTGCAATATGGTCACTGAACTTTTTAGGCACTTGCATTTAGGTCCGCCAACTTTTAAAACTTGCAACACAGTCCTTAATTTCATTCTAAACCCCAAATTCTTTTTCGATCTCAAATTTCCTTTTTTGCTTCTCCATTAGTTGAATTGTATTGAATTATAGCTTTAGAAGACAATTTTGCATGCACACAACTCGAAAGACATCATGACATGGTAGTATATTTGGAACAACTACTTGACCCTGTCATGTTGCCTTTCGAGTTGCGAAAGAGACTGAGAGGTGAATGCGCTGTTTGGGATTTCATTATATTTGATCATCTGTTGGAAAATCTTTAACCACAATGATTAAACGAAGAAATTATTATATGTCATTTATACAAAATAATTCCAGCTTTGTTGGTGACTTTCAACAATGATACTTAGTCCATCTTAGTAGTATTTGTCAACTCTGCATTTCTAACCTCATTTTTTCTCACAAGCATTTCATCAAACATCTATGCTTCACCTGATATGACCTGTATCTAACATTACACATTGAATTTTTGATGATCCTGATAGTCCCTTGGACGAGTCTTCTCTCAATGGACCTTATTCAAGTCAACACCTCCACATAATTCAAAGTTAGATTAGAATTTCTCATACATCCCCGACTAAAAAGTTATTCTGGAAATGAGAAGAGAGAAGCGAAAAAAGAAATTCGAGATCAAAAAGGAATTTTGGGTTTAGAATGAAATTAAGGACTGTGTTGCAAGTTTTAAATGTTGGGGGACCTAAATGCAAGCGCCTGAAAAGTTTAGTGACCATATTGCAAACGTACTAACGACAGTATAACGACGTCAAACGACCGATTACGTCGGGAATCATATTGCAAATGGACTAAATGTTAGGGGACTGTATTACAAGTTTTAAAAGTTGGAGGACCTAAATGAAAGCTTTAAAAAATTCAGTGACCATTACTATACTTTACCCTAATATTAATTAGGTTGCTCAAGGAATGATCTTAGTTGGGAAAATAAAAGAGTTACTCTCCGTAAGTGATTAATTTTCGAACACCTTTGCCTGGTGTGTAAATTTAATCAGGACTTAAACAAAATAAATACCAAGGTAAACCATACGGTTAGTACATAAATTATCACTTTTGTTCAATTTTGGCCACCTAACTACTTTTTGTTTTAAAATCATACCTAAAATTATGTTTTAGATTCATTTTGGTCACCATCATAAAAAAATAGGATAATGCCACGTCATTATTAGAAAAAAAATTTTAAAAAAATATCACACCAACAATTTTGTCAATATTTAACATGTGATCAAAATGTAACGTTAAGTATGATTTAATAATAATAATAATTTAGTGACCAAAACAGAACAAACGTAATAATTGAAGTACTAAAAGTGTAGCTTACCCTAAATACTATCATGAGACCTCATTAAGAATGCTCGTCTAATATTCATTAGGCAGTAAATCAACCGTATCTAAACTGAAACTATGCTCAAAGATTGAATCCAAAACTTTGTAATAAAGTATCATATCATGTAAGACTTGATCATAGCATGATGTTGCAAAATGAAAAGAACTTTCAGAGAAAATGGAAATTGAAAGCACCTATTGTCTTCGCATTCGGTTGCCGATTTGCTTCGAACGAAAGCACCAGGAAGGTGAAGGTGTAATCGGAGAAGTGCCAGCGCCCAGCAGTCAATCCTCTGACTTTAAACATTTTCTGCTGCTGCTTTTCTCACATTTCTCTTTTTATATTAGTTTAACTCGCTTGGAAGTCGAGGAAAAGATGCAATTTCTGCAACAGCAACTCACGAGTTCCAAAACTGTCTTCTTTACGTGAGTGCGCAGTCAAGGAAGCAATTGCTCGAGCAGACCATGTGTATACCTGTAAAAATACGACAACAAAAGATAAATAAATTTGGCTTGTTCGGTACAATACATATCGCTCATCAATGCTTCAATTGGATGACCATGCGCAGAGACGAGTTTTCGTGCAACAGATAAACATCCAATATAACCAAACAGTCCAACCTTGGATGACCACAATTAGCCTAAAAAACTATGGCCGGCCTGCTTCAACTTGTCTTGATACACAATTTGTAGATAGACACTAAGTAAGCAACCACAAAGAAATAAAGAGAACCGAGCTAACACGCAACGAAAGCAATAACTGCAAGCAAATTAAGCCTAAGAAGAAAAGTGCGTATGTAACCAACTACCTGTGCCACCTAGGGATGTAAGACTGCCCCGTCCCTAATGAGGAAAATACATGACGCGGAGATGGAATTGGGTGTTGGATACGAATATTTGTCCAACACGAATATGTGAAAACATTTTCAAGTTTTATATATAATTTGAAAGATCATACCATGTATCGTATCCAAATATGTATAGAAAATGAGTGCTTTAAGGACGATGAAGTGTTTGGGAAACATAGCCTTCCCACCAAACCATGTTGCACATAAGGTGAACAATTTAAAGAACATGTTATAGACAACAGTGTTCTTCCCTGATTCAATAATTGGAGTTATAATGCTAAATGAACAAAATTAGGAAGAAGAAAAGTCTCTTATTACTTCGAATAGGAATACACCCTTTTTAACATAGCAGAAAAAAATAAAAAAGAAAATAATCTCTAATATTTACAAGGAAATAATCTCTAATAATAAGTCTATCCCTAAAAATCAGTAATTACATTATGACTAATATTTACAAGGAAATTCTTAGAACTAAGGTAGAGAATCTCCTTAATTTAAGGATTTCCAACACTCCCCCTCAAGCTGGAGTGTAGATGTCAATCGAACCTAGCTTGCCCATAATTTCTTCGAACCTTTTTCTGCTCAAGCTCTTGGTTAACACATCTGCTACTTGTTGTCGAGTAGGTAGCTATGAAACACAAACTTCCCCTTTGTTAATTTTCTCTGTAATAAAGTGGCGATCGATTTCCACATGCTTGGTGCGGTCATGGTGTACAGGGTTGTGAGCTATATTAACTGCTGTCTGGTTGTCAAGTTCAGTATTATAGGTGTTGTATAGGATAATTTTAGTTCTCCCATTAGCAGTTGTAGCCACATTCCTTCACATATACCTTGGGACAGAGCTCGATACTCAGCTTCAGCACTGCTGCATGCCACAACCGACTGCTTTTTACTCCTCCATGTCACGAGATTACCCCAGACATAGCTACAATAACCACTTGTGGAGCGCCTGTCATTAATAGCACCTGACCAGTCTGCATCAGTGTAGACTTCTATGCTTCGATTTACATTTTTCTTGAAATGCAACCCCTTACCCGGTGTCCCTTTTAAATATCTCAATATCCTGTAGGCAGCTTCCAAATGTTTCTCCCTAGGAGCATGCATAAATTGACTAATAACACTTACTCCAAACACTATGTCTGGACGAGTATGAGAAAGATAGATAAGTTTTCCCACTAACCTTTGATATCTCCCTCTGTCTACCTCTTCTCCATCCTTATCAGTTCCTAATTTAAGGTTGGGTTCCATGGGAGTCTATGCTGGTTTGCATCCTAACAGTCCGACTTCAGAAAGTAGATAAAGAACATACTTTCTTTGAGAGATTAAAATACCTGCCTTTGACCTTGCTATCTCCATTCCAAGAAAATATCTAAGATTTCCCAAGTCTTTAAGTTGAAACTCAAGACTTAAGAATTCTTTTAGTCTTTCAATTTCAATAGAGATTAAAACACTTCCCATTAGCCGAGTGTTTGTAGAATAAAGTGTGATCAGCTTGACCTTGAATATACTGTCTACTCGTCATGGCTTTGGCAAAACGATTAAACCAAGCCCTGGGGGATTGTTTTAGTCCATACAAAGACTTCTTCAACTTGCATACTTGGCCCTTGCTTCCTTCGAATCCGGGCGGAAAATCCATGTAGACTTCTTCGTTTAATTCTCCATTGAGAAAAACATTCTTTACATCCAATTGGATCAAAGGCCAATCCAAATTGACAGCAATTGAGAAAAAACACTCGAATAGTATTTAGTTTGGCCACTGGTGCAAATGTTTCCTCGTAGTCCAACCCATATGTTTGAGTGAAACCCCTGGCCACAAGTCTAGCCTTGTATCGATCAATGCTCCCATCTGGTTTAACTTTCGTAGTGAAAATCCACTTACAACCCACAGTCTTCTTTCCAGTAGGTAGTTTAGATATTTCCCACGTTCCATTGTCTTTAAGAGCCTTTATTTCTTCCAACACGGCTTGCTTCCATTTGGTTGACTTAAGAGCCTCTTCTATGTTCTTTGGAGTTTCTACAGAGTCAATATTAGAAATAAAGGCATTGTAGGATTTAGACAAGTTCCCATAGGATACAAACCGAGAAATGGGATGTTGAGTGCAACTTCTCGTGCCCTTTCTGATTGCAATTGGAAGGATGGAAGGCGAAGGGGTGAGACTTCTTCCTCAGGATAGTCCTCAGGTAAAGATGGCATTGGCACTGCTTTTTCAGTTTCTGGCAACTGATGTTTCCGAGAATATACACGAAGCTGCTGAGTTTTTTCTTGTTGTTTTTCAGAAGGAGAGGGTTGTTTTTCTTCATTTGTATAATTAATCGCCCTTGTTTCTTGTTGCTGCACAGTGGAGTCGAGTAAAACGAGGTCCAAATCAGGAATTACAATGGCTGTAGGAATTTCAGCAATGGCTGTAGGATTTTCAGTAGTGGCTATAGGATTTTCAGCAGGTTTTTTAGTGGTGGTAGGATTGATAGAGTCTTGAGATATAATGAGAAGGTTGTTCAATGTCTCATCTTCACTAAATATCTCCCCCTGAAGATGAGAGGCTGGAAAATATGGCTCGTTTTCGAAGAAAGTAACATCAAGGGACACAAACATTCGGTGTAGGGTTGGAGAATAACACTTGTACCCCTTTTGTGTAGGTGAGTATCCAAGAAAGACACAAGTGTGGGCTCTAGGATCAAGTTTAGATCGGTTAGGTTCATGATTGTGGACAAATGCTTTGCAACCGAAAGTTTTGGTTGGGAGATTAGGAACACGAAACATGGGAAATATTTTTTGAAGAGTATGTAAAGGTGTTTGAAAGTTTAATACCTTTGATGGGAGTCGATTTATAAGATAACAAGCAATGAGAACAGCTTCTCCCCATAAATACTTCGATACACCTATAGTAAACATAAGAGCACGAGCCGCGGTTAAAAGGTGTCTGTTTTTCCTCTCGGAAACCCCATTTTGTTGAGGGGTGTCAGGACAAAAACTCTGATGTATGATTCCTTGCTCAGAAAGATAAGGACTTAGGATAGAATTAAAGTACTCTCTCCCATTATCAGTTCTAAGGGTATGAATTTTGGAATTGAACTGAGTTTGAATCATTTAATGAAAACTTTGGAAGACTCTAGAGACTTCGGTTTTTTCTTTGAGAAGATAGATCCAACAAACTCTAGTGTGGTTATCAATGAATGTTATGAACCACCTAGCCCCTGAGACATTTTTTACTCGACTGGCTCCCCATAAATCACTGTGGATTAAAGAGAAAGGTTGAGATTGAACATAAGGTTTCAAAGGATAAGGGACACGAGTATGTTTAGATAGTTGGCAAACTTCACAATTCAATGAACTTATTTTCTTATTTAGAAATAGTAGAGGAAACAGTATTTTCAAATACGTAAAATTAGGGTGTCCTAGTCTACGGTGCCATAGCATGATAGATTCTTCTTTCGATGTAGATAAGGCCATCCCTTCTTGTGAACTGTTTTTATTCTAAATATATAAGCCATCATCAACTTTAGCAGTGCCAATCATCTTCCCCGATTCCTATTCCTGAACCACACAACCGAAAGCAGAAAATTCAACAAGTACTTTCTCATCCTTGGTAAGCTTACTAATTGAGAGTAAATTACAAGAAATATTTGGAACATATAAAACTTTATCAATGGAAAAATTTTCAGTAAGTCTGATCGTTCCAATTCCAGCCACCGGGGAGTAAGATCCATCAGCTATGCGAATCCGGGAGTGATCATGACAAGGTAAATATGTGTGAAACAAACTTATATTACCTGTCATGTGGTTGGATACACCCGAATCTAGTATCCAGATTATTAGTATTTAAGGCAGTACCTTGAATAGCTAGTGATTCAATGGTTGTAGGAGTCCCGAGGAGTTTATGAAGAGCCTCAAGTTGAGTTTTGGTGAGTCGAACATCCTGGGCATCTTCTTCAGTAGTAGATATCATTGCTGCCTTGTTTTCTTTCTGATTTTTTTCAGGATAACCATGGAGTTTAAAGCATTTCTCCTTGGTATGTCCAACCCGGTTACAGTGACTACACCATGGCTTATTTGAACCGGAATTAGAGAGGGTTTCATTGATATCACCCATGAGAGAAGAAAAAAAGAAAAAAAAAATGTTTAGGAAGAGAGATGAGAGACAAATGAGTAGGATCGAATGAATCCTATGGCTCTCGATACCATGAACAAATTTAGGAAGAAGAAAAGTCTCTTATTACTTCGAATAGGAGTACATCCTTTTTAACATAGCAGAAAAAAATAAAAAAGGAAATAATCTCTAATATTTACAAGGAAATAATCTCTAATAATAAGCCTATCCCTAAAAATCAGTAATTAGATTATGACTAATATTTACAAGGAAATTCCTAGAACTAAGGTACAGAATCTCCTTAATTTAAGGATTTCCAACACTAAAAGATTCTTGCAGTTAATGTGCACTCAATCATTGGTGTACTGGTTCTACAAGAACATACGGAATTGATGCATGCACAACTCTAGAAAATGTTGTCATACCTGGAAGTCGTTCATTAGTTCGGATCATCTTGAATTCTGTCAGTTGGCTGATGACTGCAACTGGTCAGATATCAAGTAGGTTTTATCATCCGGAGAACCTTCAAGACCTTTTACCAACTTTGATGCAAGCTGCTCCACAGGCGTCAAGCATACAGCTACAACCCTTTTGTAAGTCTCGCCAGTTTCTTCAAAGAAGGCAGCTCGACGCCAGTAGTCAACATTATTCTCACAAACCAAACATAGATCAAGGTATGAAAGATATTTCAGAAGAGAAGCTGGAGAGGTCTCTTCTAATGCAGCTAGGAGCGGTTCACTCAGATTTGTTTCTGCTGCTGTTGATCCTATTGGTGGTGCAAACATGAACCTTTTTGTATGTAACACCTATAACAGAACACGAATATAAGTGAGAAGAAAGATTTATATTAAGGAACATCAGCGAACGTGCCTTTTTGTATGTAACACCTATAACAGAACACGAATATAAGTGAGAAGAAAGATTTATATTAAGGAACATCAGCGAACGTGAACGAATATGTTCTCTATGAACTAAGAAAGCATGCAAAAGGAAGTGAGACCAATACGATGATAAGGTTTAGCATCTTGAGAGCGGACAAGAAAGTGAAAACACCAAGCCAAATGCACAAGCAGCCAAGACATTTGGTAAACTGCATATAGTTGACAATCAATACAGCTTTCGAAGGTTGAGAAGATAAAAAATTAAATGACAAAATTTACTGCTTTGGGAGGCAAGAAAGAAGATGCAATAATGGTGGTGTTTCTTATGCAACAACGAGTACACATTCTTCATTGACTGACATGGTTAACACTTAACAGTGATGAATAGAATTGATTTATAGATTCAATCCTCTTTCGAATCCGGTAGCTAATATTATGAATTATTCATTCACAAAGAAGCCGTATAGGTCAATGAGAATATGTTTAAGCATTAGAAAAGTGGTTACTCAGCCTAAAAGTGTTGAAAAAACAGTAATTTGACAGTAATTTTTCAAGTTTCAAACCAACCTGATGCAAATGGTGAGTTAACTCCCAACAAAGATACACAGAAAAGCCGGAGCCGTAAGAGACTATATGTCGAGCAAAAAAGTTCCGGACCTCGAGTTCGGTGCTAAAATCGTGTGGCAAAAATACCAATAGCAGAGCCGAAAATAGATAAGCTGCATTAGAAAGCTTTAATGCTCGAGTAATGGCCGAAGGGATACCCATCTTGAAGCTAAAGAACAGGGGACGCTGTCGAAAAAGAGCAAACGAAACCCAAGTCATAAAACAAGAAACACTAACAACATCAATTCACCTGAACAATGGGGAACTGCAACACCCATTGCCGCTTATAAAGATAAAAAGAAGCATAGAGTAATCCCGAAGCAAAACCCTTAAACCCCACTCTTCCATAGACACCACAAAGAGACAGAGCCGAGAGAGAACCCGAAACAGCCGCCACGGCCGGCAACACTGGCAAAATACGTCTAAATTTAGGTTGAGGAGATAAAACTGTGGAGAGGGAAAAAGAGAAGAGCAGCTGGGAGAGATGAAAGCTGAAGAAGGAGATGAAGATTGCAGTGAAGGAGCGCCATGAGACGATCGTTAACGTGAATGCCAAGAAAATCAAGCTACTTAGAATCAATTGCAATAGTAAAAAGCCTACTAATCGATTCTTCACTACCACGTCTGACTCTACTGCTGTCCATGAACACATACTGGTTTCCTCCCTTTGGCCTTTAAAAAGATCGAAAATTTCGGCAAGAAAAAAAATGCCCATCAAAGAGAAACAAAATAAGGAGATTTGAAGCGAACTTACTTGGATGATCAAATCAAAGAGAGATTAAGAAAGAAAATAACGAAACCCAAAAAGTAAACAAAAAGGGAATAAAGAGAAATCAGTAAGAGTCTATTTACTTACCCAAAGTGTTGTTGAGCTGCAGAGAGGAAGAGAGTCAGAGCTGGCGACAATGTGAGATTAAGTGATGGGCGGCGCGTCAGATATATGGTGGTGGCCACGAGCCGAAGGTGAGGGAAACCAAGAGAAAAGGTGGGGAAGAAATATAAAAAGAAGAGGGAAAATGGAGTGAAGTAATAAAGGAAAGGGAAAATAAGTTTTCAGTCACTCAACTATCAATTTAGTTCTATATTGATTATCTAACTATTTTTTTCAAAAGCATACTTTAAATTACGTTTTGATCACCAATCGTTAAAAACTTAATTCTGACATGTTATTATCATTGAGAAAAATAAAAAATGTCTGATTAATAATTTTATTTATTTTTAACGATAAAGGATTAAAATATAATATTAAATACGATTTTATAAGAAAAATAATCGTAAGACTCAACCGCGACAAGGTTTTTCATGCTCATTTCTTGAAATAATTGATTTTAGGGTAAATTGGTGTTTAGTACCTAAACTATCAATTTTGATCTATTTTAGTATACATTCAAAATTTAATGTTAAGTTTGAAAAAAATGTAAGTTTAGGTGCTAAAACAGGCCAAAACAGATCATTTAGGTACTAAACCGTTAAGTCTTTAACGGCGGGTACTAAAATAAAATAAAAACTAAACGTTAGGTCTAATTTTTAAAAAAATTAAAACAATGGGTACTAAAAATCAAAACTAATAATTTAGATATTAAATATATAGTTTACCCTTGATTTTATTACTAATTTCATTCTATCTCTACTTGATTTCTTTTATTTTTCTATTGATCTTATTGAATTCGGGATGTCTAAAATATAATCTATTAATATAAAATTAAAAAAGAAATTAAAATTGATACATATCGAGTGCTTAATTTTATAGAGTAGTCTGAGTAACATTTTAAGTTGAAATAAAAAATATTACGTTATTTATAATAAATTATGTAAATTATATAATTATTTTGATTGTAATTTGAAAAGTTATGATTAAGAAATTCATATGACATTTTGGATTGTAATTGAAATTATTATCAATTATTTAATATTTTAGAGTAACATTGTAACATATTAGGTTAAAATTCATCGGAATGTATTAGTTCCAATTAAAATCGAAATTATTATTAATTGTGAAACCTTTTTAAAATGAATAAACTATATAAATGGTCATTAACGTTTGAGTAAGTATTTGTTTTCTCCACTAAAATTAAAAGTAATAAATTGATGAGTAACAGTTTTGAATCGATCACTCGCCATTTCTAGGAGTGACAGATCACTGACGTGGCACTTTTACCTGCTGCATGGCACCATTTTGACTGGGCGTTTGACTCTCCATTATGAGAGTTTCCACAACCATGGGCATGGTCTGAACCATCTCCCCTATTCCTGTATCTTTGTTCTTCAAGAACAGACTCCTTCTCAAGCTAGTTACCAGATCATATGTCAATCTTGCTCAGCAGATCAACAAATTTTACGGCCATGTAAGAGGTGCGGCAATCATCTGATCTTCTAAGGACCGACAGTTTTTTTGTTTGCGTACTTTAACAAGCCTTCCACCTGTACCCAAGCTGTAATTATCATCTAGACTAAAGCAAAATATCAGCTTTGGTAACTAAGATGAATGTGCATAATATAACGAACTCTTCCATTACTCAACATCACAGCAACAAGTTACCCAAGATTTCCTTAAGAACAATGAAATTAGGGGATTAAAACATGTAACGCATTCTAGTAAAGAGAACAAAGGTCGGAGGAAAATTCTGACAAAGAAGAATTACCGGCAACCACATGGCCATCATCGGCGGTCAAACCAAAGAGTGAAGAGAGAGAGAGAGAGAGAGAGAGAGAGAGAGAGAGAGGAACATATATGTGATTAAGAAGACTTGAACTCTGATCTTTAAAGTCAGCATAATACCTTAACCAATAGGCAACAGGTGAAGAAACAAAGAACTTTATAATTAGACTTTCGATTCCATAACATAAAATAGAAGTTGCACGGTCGGCAGGAAAATTGAGCGCTCATCAGCAAAGTCAGGGGTTCCCTTCAAAGCTTGAGTAGCGAATGCTATAAAAGTATCCTCGGTTGGAAATTGGAATCACACCCGGTAAGTGATTATATGCCACACTAAATATCCAAACCTGCAGCGAAGATGCTTACATTTCGGTGTTGCTCTTACCAGTAAAGAGCTTGAGGAGTCTGTGTTCTTGAAGAACAAAGATGCAGGAATAATGGAGATTAGACCAAGCCCATGGATGTGGAAACTTTCTCATAGAGAAGAGTCAAACGCTCAGTCAAAATGGTGTCATGTCAGAGAGTTAATGTGCCACGTCAGTAATTTGTTACTCCTAGTAACGGTGATTAACGGCGATCGACCGATTTGTTATAAATCAATAACATTGGTAATCAATTTGTTACTTTTGAAACTTCAGTGTGAAAAATGAAAACTTACTCAAACATTAATGATCATTGTGTAACTCGTGAAGTTAAAAGAGAGGAGGAGGCGCAGTCCCACCAGCCGAAATTTTTTCATCTCTCACGAAGTATTCTTTTCGCTCAGACTGCTCTTATCTCCCTTCCAGTCTCGTCGTGTGAAATCCAATGGATTGGAGAAAGTTATTTGGGTTCTCTGAAGTCACAACTTGGAATTTCACCCCCTAGGGTTCGTGACGGTGCCGCAACGGTTCATCCCCCAAAAGAGGTGCTTGAATATGGAATTATGGAGTGGAACCTCTCTCTGGTGGGACAATTTCTGGGTCCTGCTCCGAACTTCTCTGCATTACAAAGGATTGTTGATAGCTTGTGGAGGAAAGCAACGGCGGGCGCGGAAGTTCAAATGAGTCTTGCCGGAAACAACTTATATGTTTTCTCATTTTCTTCAGCTTCTGCTCGTGACTGGGTCCTTAAAAACAGACCCTGGCATGTATGGAACAAACCCCTTATTTTAAGGAAATAGGAACCCAATTTACAGAAATTAAATTTTGATCTTTCTAGTTTGCCTATCTGGGTTCACCTTTATAATGTCCTCCTTGAGCTTTATTCTCGTTTAGGCCTCAACTATATAGGTAGTGCAATTGGCATTCCTCTTTCTATGGACACTATTACTGCATCTAAAACACACCTAGAATATGCCAAACTTTGTATTGAGGTAGGAGCTAAAGACACTATACCTGAACTAATTGAAGTTGAACTCAAGGAAGGAGTAAAGGTCTCAATAACAGTGGAAGTCCCCTGGCTGCCAGCCCGGTGTAATTACTGTAAGATTTTTGGTCACAATGATAAAGCTTGTATGCAATCAAAAAACCATGTTGCTGCGAAAAACCAAATCTGGAGGAAAGAGGAGGTATCAACAAGTGAAGTTGAGGTAGAACCTACAGTAGGTGGAATTGAACTGTTGCAAGAGAAAGTAATATCCTCTCCAGGAAAAACATATGTTGATAGTGAAACAGAGGTTGATTATGTCAATGGAAAATATGAACAAAATGTAAAACAACGAGACCATCTTGTCTATAATACAAATGATGCTCAAGTCAATGTCAAAGAGCTAACAAAGGAAAGCTTAGCGCAAAAAGAAGTTAATGAAGATATCTCCGTAGTGAATCAAACCAACTCTGACTCAAATGTGGAAGCTTATAAGAACAAAATTGGTTCTTCTTTGGCTAATCCTAAAAGAGCACGGGGAAGGCCAACTAAAGAGAAATCTAATACCAGTATTACGGATTCCTCAAACAGATTCCAGATTCTCAATGATTCTGAGGAAATTCCTCTTTTTTCACTGGAAATCCAAAAGAAACCTCGAGCTTCATCTAAAGGAGTAGCTGCCATTGTAAAGGAGCTTAAGTCGAAAAAGAAATAAAAGCAAGAAAACCAAAGATGCATTGAAGTTGGTGGTGGAGGGGATAAACTGTAATCCCTTCTTAATGAATCTAGCATTTTGGAATGTAAGAGGACTCAACTGTCCTCATAAACAAGATAGTATTATTAGAAGAGCTAACCAGAATAAAAATGACGTGTTCTGTTTGATGGAGACTAGAGTGAAGCAAGAAAAGTCTGTAAATATCCTTAATAGAAAATTTTCTGGCTGGAATGCAGAAACTAACTATGACCATGCTCTAAATGGTAGAATTTGGATTTTTTGGAGGAAGGGGCTGGATTTCTCGATAATTCAAGCTTCAGATCAGTGTATTTCTATCCGAGGGAAGTTCCTGAATTGTCATTTTATCATCTCAGCAGTCTATGTAATCAATGATGGAATTTCCAGAAGGCTTCTTTGGCAACATTTATGTGACCTCCAAGCTACTGTTGGCCTTACTCCCTGAATTATTGGTGGAGATTTTAATATAATTCTCCAATCAAACGAAAGCTTGGACTATGACTTCATTGGCCCTTTTTCTACTTCTGGCATGAGAGATTTTTGAGAAACTCTCACTGATCTTGACCTTTTTGATCGCCCTTATTTTGGTGCCACGTACACATGGAGCAACAAGCAACAGAGCACCTTCATTGCGAGAAAACTCGATAGAGTCCTTGTTAACCCTCAATGGTTATCTTTTTTTAAGGAATCACATGTTGAATTCCAATCCCCTGGAACCTCTGACCATTGTCTTGCTCAAGTATGGCTCTCTAAAATAGCCCAAGTTGATAGACCGAAACCGTTGAAAATTTTCAACTATTGGACCCAACAGCCGAATTTCATGGAAGTGGTACAACAGTCCTGGTATAGAACTGCCAATGGAAACCCTATGCAGATCCTATTCTATAAACTAAAGAGACTGAAATCCAGCCTTAGGTACCTCAATCACGCATGCTATAACGGAATTTCGACTAGGGTCAAGCAAAAGAAAATAGAGCTAGAGCAGCAACAACTCAAAACATTAAAGGGCGAGGAAGATATAGAAAATAAGTTGTTCCTACAAAATGAATTGAAAATTTTGGAGGAAGCAGAAGCATTGTTTTTCCGACAAAAAGCAAAAATCCAATGGTTGAAGGAGGGTGACAAATGCACCAGATTATTTCATTCTGCAGTTGCTTATAAAAACAAAAGAGACACAATTCGCACCCTTATCGACGACAATGGTAACCGGCTTGAATCTTATGACCAAATGTCAGTAGAGGTGATCAAATTTTTTTCCACCCTGTTAGGCACTACTGATTCTACA